CGCTCTTCCCTATGCCTCTGCCAGCTGTGATTTACCCCTCCCCAGCTCTTTCAGACTCCCTGGCAGTAGGCTTTGAAGGGGGAGTATCACTAACTGAAACTCACAGGCAAGAGATGGGTATATTGCTGCACGGGGAAATTCTTACCTTCTCTGCTCACCCCAGCCTCACTGCCAAGCCATTTCTCCAACAGAACAGCCTCACCAGTGCTAGCCTTAGCTGAACATAGGATGCATATGTCAATTACCCTTTTCTAACCCTGATCCAATGCAAGTAGTTTTAAATTATAAACAAATACACAGAACATACAAAATAACAATAAAAAATACCAAAAACAGTGCACCATTGAAAGAGCAACCAGCCAAACTTTTAGCTGTCTCCGTACTAGCACCTGAACACCTTTCTCAGCTCAGCAGCATCCTTGGGTGCTTTACGACCACTGTTAAATGAGTATCATCACAGTAAATAACTAAGAAAGTTATCATCAGGAAGTATCAAGTATAAAAAGTACCAAAATTCTGCACAGATTCTCTGGAACTAACATTTTCACTTGTGGGAAAATCCACCAAGAATTTTGTCTTACTTTGCCCACAGGTCTGAATTTTTACCATATGAAATCAGCACAATGGATTAGAAGGGACTCTAAAATCAAATGGATTCCTCCATGGCCTGGCCTTGAAAGCAGAAGGATAAGACTTTGAAAGAACTACCCACTCCAAAGTACACCAGGACTGATTCTAAAATGCAGTCATGGAAGCTAGGAGAAAATGGGCCCTGAAGCATTTAAGTTTACAAGTTGTTCCATACATTGAGACCACAACATATGCCCTCTTTGGACACCAGAAATGTCCAACGGGCCAGTTATTTGTTTTTACTTCTGTCATTTCAAAGTTAGGACACCTACTGATAACTTGATCCACCAGTACTGTCAAGTCGCTTTAAGTAATATAGCTGGCCATGTCCTTAGAGATGAATAAAAGTCACCTATTTTCACGAATACTTGGAAGTAGCTGAGAAATGAAAAAGAAATCTTGTATGTCTTACCAACTTGCAGAGAAAGAGGTGCAAATTTCACTGCTTGTTCTCCAGAGAATGATTAATCCTATTCCTCTCTCCACTGAACTATCCCTGTCTCAGGGTACCAGCCCTTAGTCTTGTTCTCCATTGTTCAAGTTTCTCATGTAGTTTGTCTCACTCTAGTTTGTCGTGCCAGGCCTTGCTTTCCTCTAGGCTCATCAACTGAGAACCAACATCTCTTCACCCCTTCCATTGTCTCCTCCTTGAAGTGAATCTCTTTTCTCCCTGTCTTTTGATTTCCCATTTAATCTCAGTCACTCCACAACTAACAGCCACCTTATTAAACCGTAACCAATAAAGTCACCACAGATTTTAAACAATTAAAAACTGGCACTTATAATGACAGAAGGAAGAAAATCTTCATAAGCTGTGCTAAGTAATCCTGTAAAAAGTGAATTTACTAAAAATAAACTAAAGTAATAAGGTAAACATAACCAATAAAAATGAAAACATCCAACTTAGAGTTACCTTTTGTTTGTGGTATGCTATTAAATGTCTACGATGTTTTTCCTGAAATTCTGAAATCTAAAAATAAAATTTTTACAGTTATACCAATCTCACCTAAGTATATTTACACAACCTCAGCAAAGACTAATGGAGAAGAATCATTTAACGGAATTTGTGTTTTTCTATATTTAAATAATTATTTGACATATCCTTTATACAACCCTTTAAATCCTCATCCAACAAAATATTCCAAGTCCAAGTTATTATCACTGAGGTAGAAATTCTTATAAAGTTTATTTAACCTAATATGGTCTACCCTAGAGTTAGTAGATTTACTTCCCTGAATTCGTATTTTAAAACTAACTGTTCATTTACAAGGTAAAGAAATTGGAAAGGCAGTTACCTGTGCTGTTTCCTTTTCATTAGTGCTATGCAAACACATAAAATTAATGGCAACATAAAATGTAATCTGTCTTACTAGCAATTATAACTTGTCTTAGATATATAACTTAGATATAACTGTTAGACGCACTGTCTAGTGGTGATCTTAATGAGCAGCACTTCTGGTTATGTCCAAATGAGGATCATAAACCATGACAGGTTAAAAGTAAAAACATACAGGCTGGGCAAGGAAAGAGCTTGAGGAACAACTCACAAAAGGCAAAAACTTACTAATAAATCTTTCTTCTCACATGCCAGGAGTAAGAAACCTGTCAGAGATTGTGTCAGATAACCAAGAAGAAATACTCAGAGAAAATAAAGAAACCACAGTGGAGCAGCTAACGGAAACGGTTACTTTCGGTTCACTGTAAAAGGGTCTAGGACGTTCCCGCTGGATCCTCATCAAAGAATCAGAAGTGTCTTCAGAAGAACTGATGGAAGAAACAGCTGAAAAGGAACAGTAAGGATGCACATCTTTACATGGCTAACTCATTCCTAAAAGATAATAAATAGGTAAGCAAAAAATCAGTTTAACACAGTTCAGTGAGATCACCAGTGAATTTCCACAAAGATCCATGCCTGGAGTTTTGCTGTTTCACATGTCTATACACGATCTCCAGAAAAGGCGAATAACAAAGCTATTGTTTTTATTCTTATAGCAGTTTGCTGATGATACTAAGTTAATCAGGATAATGAAGTTAAGAGCCTGTGGTGAAGACATTCAGAATGACTTTATAAGACTGAATGGCTGGGTAATAAAATCACAGCTGAAATTCCATATAGATAGTGTGAAGTCATGCACAGAGAGGGAAAAATCTGAATTTACTTAGAAAATAATGGGCTCTAAGCTGACTGCTGCCACTCTGGAATGAATTTTTGGGCCTACAGTGGGGAGCTCCATGAAAATGTCAATTCAGTGCTTCAGTGGTCAAAAAAGCAAAGTAAACTTTAGGAACAGTTAAAAAAGGAATAGAATAGGCTTCACAGAAATAGAATAGGCATCATTACTCCACTGCAAAAATGTCTGATGTTACTGTACTGAGTCTGCTTAACATCTCGGAAAGGGAGTAGTAGATCAGGAAATATTTCAGATTAGTCAGAGGTGTGGAACAGTTTTAGTACAAAGAACATCTGTGATTATGAGTCCTCACGGCTGGATAAAAGACAATTGAAGAAGGGATACGACAGCAGTTTAAAACTAATGAGTGGCACAGATAGGCTAAACGGGAATGCTTGTTTTTTCTTCCAGAACAGGATGCAAGAGCATCAAATGAAACCTGCAGGTAGCAGATTAAAAACAGGCAAAAGGAAATCATTCTTCAGCGTATAAGCTGTGGACATCCTGTCCATAGTATGTGACAGACATTAAATATTCACAAAACAACTTGATAATTACACAGGGAAAAATATTGACCAAAAGCTTTTGAACGCAAAGACACCACCTCTAGCTTGAGGAAACTGTGCCACAAAGTACTGGAAGTTAGAAGGTTGCTCTGAAGACGTACCACTACATGGCAGCCTTGTTCTCATTCTTTCCTAAGTACCCCTTGTGTGACAGGGCATTAGAGCAGGTAAAACTTTTGCCCTAACACAGCACAGGCTGCTCTTACATCTTTTGACACTCGTGGAAGTTCTGAACATTTCTCAACGCTTCCTGTATTTTACAGTAAAGTATGTTTCCTATACATTATTTTAGACTACAGAAAAACTTAAAGTCTCTTGAGATTGTGTCTTTTTTCCCCTTTCTTTGACACATTACACAAGTATGTATTCAAGTATGATTGGTAGTATAGCCGTCTGGATTTGTTCACAGTTTACAGAATAAATACTATTCATTAGACCTGCTGTTAAAAACTGTGTGCCTAGGCAGGATAGAAGAAGGCTTCTTGTTTACCTTATGTTGGCTTTGCACTTTAGGAGGAGGAGTGCTAAGGAAAGGGAACACGCTCAGCTTTGGAGAAGTTTTTGGAGCAGAGTAGAACAATTATGAATTCATAATCACCACTGTCAATTCCTAGGATGAAGAAAGCAAATCGTCTTCCCTGGGCTAATTTTCTGCCAGATCAGCAAGCTTGTGGTCAAGCAAGTACGGGTGCAAGGGAGAGAAGAACACACAGTGAAGGTCACCAGTGGATTGAGGGAGGACATATTACTACAGTTCAACTTAGAGTTTATTTGAGCTGCCATAGAAACACCCAGTAAGGGGGGCAAGGACAAATCCCAAAGCAAAGCTGCAGAGAGGAAGGAAAAGAGGAGCCAAAGGGAGTTTATAAGCAGTTTGTTGCTACTAAAGTTGCTGGACTGGAAACTAAGAAAGACCAAAGGAAGGGATCCTCCTTGCAGGTTACAGTAGGGAGGGGGGAAATTTACTCTGAAATCTTTCATTGCATCTGTCTGAATAAGGTTCAGACTGAGGTTTTCAAGAATTATATTGTTCTTATTTTTAATAAAGCCTAGATTTTGAGATTAGACATCTTTGGTATTTGTTGACTTGCTCACTTTATTAAAAAAAAAGCAGGGAGGAATGTTCACCTCAGGGCTTCGGCCAGCTCAGGCTTCCATATTGTAATTTTTCTACTGCTATAATTAATGCACATTGCCTGCACCTGCTTAAGGTTCTGGTGGATCTAATTTTTCATTGCATAGCATTGAAAGTGATTTTACATCATTAAAATAACCAGAACTAGTTGTCTTCGGAGATAGTTTGGAAACATAAACAGTGATCCTGATGAATAATGTTTGCCTTCTTAAGAACTTTGAAACTGTGGAAGTAGAGCAGCGAAGAAAGAAACAGCCATACATTCATTTTCAAACACACATACCTTCCTTTTTCCCATTTAAATACAAATCCGTAGAAGCTGCTGGTTACTTTCTACGGTTAGAAAGTTTAAGGGAGACTGCAGAGAATCGCACAGCACAAGAACACTGGCCTTGTCTGTTCCTCCACCAGGAAAGAATACTTGGTTCTGACACCCCCCTCCCCATCCTACTTGATGAACAAACGCAAATACACTTTCAAGTACAATGCAATTATGCAACAGGTGTGGCTGAATTTACAACGATTAAAGAAACACTTTATCTGGATTCTGACTGACAGATGCTAAATCTTATAGACTTTTTTCACAGGACTCACCTGTGTTATTTCTTTCGAATATTTCTTGCATAACGTATCTATTCCCATGAACAGGGATTGAATATCGGGACTTGTCTACCAAGAAAAGAAAATATATCGAGGTTAGCACTTTTAGTTGCAGACCATATGAAATAAAACATTTGTGAGGTGTTCCATAAATAGATGTATATCTGTCAAAAATTGTATTGATGTATATAAGTTAAAAATGTTGATGAACAGATCGGGAGTATGATGACGCATAGAGTGAGAAGTTCAGTTTATTTAATGTCCATCTTAATCATCCCGGAAGGCTTTATGCTTTTGTTTAAATATATCATACCCATACATTCTTATTGCAAATAAGACAGTAACAGTTTCAAGAGGCTGTTCAAGGAAGATGTATGTGCTGCCCCGGAGCAGGCATTGCCTTCAGATCAACAACCAGATTTCTGGCAGCACCTTTGCTTTATAGGCTTTTTACTTCTCCCCCTTCTCAGTCATCCTTCATTTATGGAACCACCTTTCAAAATCTAGTCAAAAAGAACAGAAACAATTGCAGACAAAGTGTAAATTAAGATTAGAAGTACTAAAGAATTTTAAAAAGTTTAAAAATTTGAAAAACGAAAGAAAGGTGAATTATTTAAACAAATAAGTAGACCACCTGCAAGTGAAGCAACAAGTCTTCTAGCCTACTAAGACAATATGAGGATTTAAATTAACAATACTATATAGAAATTAAAAAGAATTGGGCTTTGGTCTACTTGGAACTGCACAAACATACAGAGAGACTTTATTTTATCCACTCCAGGAAGAGTATAACGCTAACATAAAGTGAAATATCCAAGACTGGATAACAACTGTACTTGCCAAAACTATTTTCAATCTGTACTTGCATTCTATATTTTTAGTAATAGGAAGGTATTAAGACTTAACATGTACGAAAAATAATTATTTGAGCAGCTACATTAACAACTGGTATTTGCAACAGGTTTGTATGTTTTGTCCTCTTTATTCTTACATCAGCTTCCTCCAATGTGCTGTAAAGCAATCCAGATGAGCAGAGATGGCATGTATTGTGTTACTCCACACCATATGTTTATTAGTGAGCTGCAGTTGCATGTCTGTCATCAGGGGAACTAAACTGGGTTTCCTTGGTTTCCCCAGCTACCAGTTTTCATAGAATTTATAGGAGGAAATTAATTGCATTTGAGACTTCAAATTTGGTTGACCTTAGCCAAAAGGGTTCAAAAATAACGAAAGGGTAAACTGGCACACTGAGAAAGAGAAAAGCAGAAGGACAGACAGCACAGTCTAACTTATCTATGGTATTATAGTAAAGAAAATAGAAGCAAGACAATAAAATTTCATCTAGAAAAAAAAAACAGAATACACTCATAAAAATATACTTGGCATATTTAAAATAGGAGGCAAGCTCTAAAACCTATTTAGGGTGCTAGCAAAGAAAGGATCTTGGTTTGAGTCACTATCAATCAGATATATCCTGAAAAAAATACAAACTTACATTTTACAGCTTCATTGCTGATTTATAAACTCTTTAAAATAAAGGCTTGTAGAAAATAGTTTAGATTTGTTGCATGGAGGAGTAGCAGATGTTAACATGAGATTCTAAAATAATGAACAGTGAGATTCTGATTCATCACAACACTTCACCATCTTCTAAGAAAAAGTGAGCGGGGTGCATGAGACATAAGGAAAATGTAAAGGTGACAAGCAAGCATTACTGTAAAGATGAGAATATTTAATGTGCAGATGTTGATTGCCCCAATATACAATTTAATGAGGAATTTTACCACATTTATAGGACCTCGTACTCATTGGGAATTTTGCCATAGCATCAAGCTCATAAATGGTATCACGTATTTTCCCATTCAGGTTCCTGACCCGTATGGTTTTTTTCTATGCATCTTTAATTATCATTCCAATCATTTTATCTGCTCTTAATCAAGGTTAAGTAATCATCATTAATGTCTTTTTCAAATAATATGGTAATTTGCTTCCTTCCAGTCCTCCACAGTAGTGGCAGGTTCTAATGAAACATCTAATATTTTTGTTAGCATCACAGACACAGCATTTTTAAATTCCTTCAGTATTTTTAAAGTAGATTAAGTTCTGTTGAAATGTTACAACTTAAGATTGGCTGAACTTAGAAGTTAGCCCCTTTCTGAGCAGAGTTTTGGACAAGATGACCAGAGGTCCCTGACCTAAAAATAGTTTAGCTTAAGAGAAAATGGAAAAAAAAAGGGCCAATACACTTGAAAACGCTGATGGGCAGGCATGAAGGTTTTTGCTTCAGTCCGTTACGTGAAATAATTCATTGCAATCCACTTTTTCGGATATGCAAATGCCAAAGTCAATACACATTCTTCCACATTTTGACAGTGGTCACCAATGTTATACAGTAGCTGTTCATGTTCTTGAAAAATTTGGAATGATTTGCAGTCTGACAGAATCTAAAGACCTAAAAAGTTTCCCCACCTACTTAAATTTGAAGTCCATAAAACTAAGAGGTGTATAGTGCATAAGTATCTAAGCCTACAAAGCTATCATCAATAAAAAATTCATGTCACAGTTGGCAAACAGAAGGGAAGTATTTTGTAATGCAAATAATTTAGCTGTCAAGGAAATCACAGATTAATGTAACACAGTATTACTAAAGCTTTCATTTACCTGTTTTGAAAGGAATAACATACGACAAGGAGTTTTACAGATCAAACATTCATCTTTTTTGCCTGTAGGATAAAGATACATTTAATATATACACGAAACTGAACAGAAATTAAATACATTTTTAATAGATTTTGATGCCTTCACCTTTCTTTGGAGCCTGTGGAAGGAATCTGAAGTTTATATATGAAATGCAAATAAACATGAATAAATAATTTGATTTTAAAAACACTAGCAGGCAGTTGCACAGGAAAAATATATGTGAATGTCATCAGGTCTTAATCCTGCAAATAAGCATTCATGTAAATGATTTTATGAATATGATTAGTGTCACTGAATGCAGGTGACTTTTAGTTCCTGTGATTTAAATAGGACTACTTGTCTGGTTTAATTAAATGCATGCTTATGTGCACTAATGAGCTAGAGCCAACCAGATATATGACTTTACTTTGGGATTCATTCTTGCTCTCTAGATAAAAAATATAAAGTCTTAAATTCACAGAATTAATAATTTTACCTTATGAATTTTTACAGTAACTTCATCATTTTTTAAAATCTCTTTTATTATTTGCAAACACATTAGCAATTATGCCTATAAAATGCATGCGAGTGCAATATTTATACATTCTTTTACCATCGCTGATAATTATATGTCTCCTTTCTAAGGATCAATGTTCATAAACATCTTTAAGATGAAATACATTGTAAAACTGATATTATCATTATTACTGAGTTCACAGCAATAAAAAATTACAGTGTCTCAGTTTTTTCTGCCAGATAATATTAACAACACACAGGGAAGCTATGGTTCATGTTCTAGGAGTTTTCAAGTTATATTTAGAGGCTGCGCTTTACGAACCTCTCTCCTTAACAGCAAAACTGTCAAAACTTTAAAGGTCAAAAAAGGCTTCTTTTCAGTTTTGAAATGCAGATGGAGCGCTTATTCTACGCGGCCTGAAGAAAGACAGAGCTTCTAGCATGACCTCAAAGGGGAAAATATTGGTGTCCGCCTGATATTTTGTCCTTTGAGAAGAAGCTTTCTGATTTCCTTATGTCTTTTCCGCAGAGCCTCAGCACAGCGGTCCCAGGCCCGACTTTCAAAACATCACCTCAAATCTTCCCAACACCGTCCAAGTTTCTCTAGTGTTTCCATGACAACAACAGTGAGATTTAAAGTGCTTGAAGACTACTAACAAAATCTGCCCCAAAACATAAATCCTACGCCTTGAAACTCGTTCTTTAACTAATGAAAGTGCGTGTACCCTTCCAGAAGGCGTGAGGCCACCATCTTACTTCTCTTTTGCAATGCAAACATGGATTTATATTTATTTATATTTATTATATTATTT